TGTGCAGAGGCGTTTGCCCCTTTCACCAACATACCTCCACTGCAACTTTAGCAAGGTATGTTGTAGACCACTGCTGATTGTTCCCTTGGCGGTAGCTGGTCTTTGGAACTCATTATCTACTGCGTGATGGTGGATTCCGGTTTAGGGGCCACTCTAATCCCAAAATCGCTCAGGGTTCTTGTTTTCGCCTCAGAAACATTCCTCACGTAGGGAGTCGCGAGCCATAGCTTCGGCTTTTCATCGTTAGATCGTTCGGGGGTAAGTCCTCTTCGGTATTCACGTAGGTAGGATCGTGGGTAACCATCGACTGAGAATAGGGAATTTAGGTGTTTCGCCTCTTCCTTCCTCCAATCGTCGTCACTACATTTTGTCTGAACTCATTGCAAACGACTTCTGAAACATCTGCGTTTGTGACCATTAGGGTGGTTACTTCGGAATTGGAGGATGTGCCTAGTATTCATTGCCCTACGGTATAGCGTAATTCTGACCCTCCCCCCCCCACCAGCTATCCTTGCGACCTTTGCGTCAAGGGAGGGCAACTGGTTGTTGTTTTCCTCATCCAACAACTCTGGGCCAGTATGAACAAACACCCCACCTTTCCTGATAATGGAAACGTGGAAGTTGCCAAAACGTCGGCACAAATACAATGTGGCCCATGGGATCTCCTCTCTTGGGGGATGAACGGAATACATAGATATACTGGTTGTTACACAGCTTGCGATACTGCAAAATAATTACCCAAAGGTGACTGAAATGGACACTGGTGGCCATCGGCAGCCAGCCCAACTACACGAAATTTACTCCGCCGGAAGATCTACCACTGCGGCGGAAAAGTGAGCCTTTTGTCTTTAGAAGGTTACATTTTTTATCTACACATTTCCTCATCATCCGATCGACGAAATGCATCTTCTTTAAGCACAACAACCCCAGCTGCGTTTATGTGTTTTTGTGGAGTTGCCGGCAAAATTTGTGGAGCGTACGTGGAGGCAGCTTGCAGTGCGATCGAATTAAAAAAATGCAAGCGACCGCCCCGCATACAAGACAAGTTAACCCAAACACCAATCCCAAACCCAAAACTGACTGCCGGTTAACTTGTCGATTCAGGGCTGAAGTTTTTGACAGATGATTATCGATTTGTCCACTCCAATCGATAAAACAACAAGATTGTGCGGCAAATTGTTAAATTAACAGACTTGAAAGTCCTCGAAATTAAGCAGTTGGATTAGGAGAAACGAGTGATCACCATGGTAAATTGGCACGCCTTCATCCAGGAAAGTAAGTCTTTTATTTGACAACATTTTGAGATACTTGGCCCAGCCCTATTTTGCCAGGGTACCGGAGTGACTCAGGAGTGAATTACAATCAAAGTTGTGAGTCAAATTCTCTTGACCGTAATTCGATTTAGAAGGCCAATTTACCTCTATTCCGAGATATTTTCAAATAAGAGAAGCCCCTTGTCTCTGAATCGCAGGATTTCATGGTTTTTAAATTATGCTGCCAGAAATCCTAAACCACGTTAACCTTCTTAACTGCGTCCTGCAGAAAAGATACTCAGAAGAAAAGGTGGCGAGCGAACGTTGCTTTCGATAACTTCTCGTCAGGCCAATACAATTACATAGGGCGGGGTACAGTGAGTGAAAAAATCGATAAAATACAGGCTAGGCAAGAGCTGAAGGGCACATGAAGTTGTATGCGGCTAGTCAGCCTTTGAGCACGGTAGGCGCGGAGCCTGAACGAGGTTCTTCTGGGCTCAAAGGGTCGGTTTTCGTAACCTGATGGCGACCGCTTCTGCTGTTGCTAACAGGCGCTGGCCCAATAGCTTAAGGTAGCTCTAGGGAACCTTATAACTCACACGAAGTGCTTCAGCGCGGTTCACACGATGCCCTGAATCCACTGCATGCGCAAGAACGGCGCTGTCTATTCTCCTAGTTTCACCTTTTGCCAGTCATGCGGAAAGGTGCTCTCGTATTCTTTTGGAAAGGCGCCGACTCGTACGACCAGTATAGCCTGCTCCACAGGAGCAAGTGAATGCGTAGATGCACATTGAGGCGGTCTGAGGTGGCTGCCTATCCTTGCCTTCACCGCGTAACATAGGATTAGTAGAGAATGATATGCGGACCCTTGCTGCTGGGAAGGTTGCCGAGACAGCTTGGTCAAGGCGTCTTCTTAGGAGTTCACTTGCAGCGTCTCCTTATAAAGGAAATTTGAGGAACAACGTTTTCGTTTCGGCTGTCAGTGTGGTGGGTTTTGCGAGTCGTTCGACAAGGTTCTTTGTAATTAACCTGTCAGGATACCCGTTTTTGCGAAGTTATCGAAAGCAACGTTCGCTCGCCACCTTTTCTTCAGAATATGGTTATGAGGATTTTGAAAACTCTAGAAAAGATACTGTCGAAATGTACACTCATTAGCTTTGAGAGGGGAGTTCGTCCGAGGCCTCTCCCCCTTCCCACCCGAAAGCAAACCACCAGTAACGCTAGCGCTGTATCCTCTCTCTCTCTCTCATTCAGGTTTTTGAGGTAGTCGAGGAGGGCTCAATTGCATCGCATCCCGCGCGCTTTTTGTCCAAAAGCGAACTGGCAGCGCAGAGATCTGGGCTAATTTCACTCCTTCTCACCGTCCTCCAGACAGCCTGCAAACTAGGCATGGAGACGAGTCTGCCCAGAGGCTCCCAGGTGGACTTCTAGACGAATCACCAGAAAACAGTTGCAGGAGATCCTTGAAGGGATGCTTCTTCCCGTGTTGCTGTGACACT